TCTCACGACCAATCTGGCGGGGCCATCTGTGATCTGTGCAAGAAGATAGTGCAATTGTCTGCTGAAATCAACTAACCTTTGATTCGGACAGTTTGCTGCTTCGAAATCTTCCAAGTGCTGGTCAATGCAGGGATCATAAGTACCTTCCAGTCTGTCCATCAATGACTGGGCTACAGGTTTGTACAAGGAAACATACGACTTCAATTGCCAGCTCCAATCTTCCCATTTCTCGGACTCACCATGGAAAATCTGTGGAGGAAACAATTTGATTTCTCCTCCTGGCGACCCAAGAGACTGCAGCAGCAGTCACCATTGAGAGCACAGAGCGGAGTGAAGAGAGAGAATCATTGACTCCTCAACTTGCTTCGAACAATCCATTGCTTGAGAGCCCCAGAAGGTCTAGTGCAACCCCCAGGCCTGTGAGACCCAGCCTTGCAAGTAGATTGTTCGTAGGAGCTTTGATGCTGATTGGAACATTGTCAGCCTCTGTTCCTCCACATCCTCGCAGTGCAGATGATGTGATTGTCGACAGAATGATTGGCAGTCACACTCCACATGATGACAGTAGCAGTGAGTCAAGCATTGAAGGTCAGAGTGAGCTAGTGTCGAACCCAACTGGCATTGGGATTGATCGCTTGTCTGATTTCCACATACAGTCAGGCATTGTCGACAGGAGCTGGATTTTGTTCGATTCTGGCGCACCAGCAAATTGCTGTCCACCTTGGTTCGCATCGGACTATCCATTGCACCCAGTAGGCAGTGATTGCCCGGCGCTTAGAAGCATCTCAGGCAAGACATTGTCCATCTTGGGGAAGCGTATTGTTGAACTTGACTGCAATGGCCACTCATTGTGCGTGCAGTTCTATGTTTGTGAGCACATTCCTTTCCCATTGGTCAGTGTGTCTAAGTTCTTGCTTCAAGATTTTTGGACAATCATGGCAAAGGATTTCATGGCATTGATGACACCGTCAAATCAAACCGTGCCTATTGTTCGGCAAGGCACCTTGGTGTATCTCACCCCTACTGTCATTCCCTACTCAGCCTATTCAGGCCCCCGAACTGAATTGGAAATCAGTAGCCTCATGGATGACCTCGATCTTGAGACCATTGATCTTGAGTTGAGAGGCATCACTGATTCCACTCATTGTGAGTATGATCATCTTTCAAAGATTTCTTCATTGGTTGCGATGGCACAAGCTAGAGCAAGATCCAAACCAGCGTTCGCCAGAACTGTTGCAGCCAAAAGAAAAGCAACAAAGAACATGGATTATTGGGAGATTGATGATCCAAACTGCCTCCTGATCAGGCATCATGTGAAAACAAGACGAGCTATGTTCGGATTGACTCGTCTTCGTAGCTCGTTGCCTGTTGCAGAGGCCAGATTGACTGGCGCACGCGTCACTAAGGTGAGGTATAAGGATGGTACCGAGCAGGTCTATCGCGATGCAGATTGGAGATCTCTTGAGGATCCGGATGCTGCATTGTCTGGTGATTGGACGGGCACCACTGAGTTTGCATTGTATCCGGCGAGCGGACAGCTAGAAACCGGCGCGAAACGCACACGCGAACGCACGCGTCCGCAAGATGCATTGTCTTCTTCGCCCCGCCCGACCCGCCCCATTGAGAGTGTTCCGAGCCGAGGGACCGAGAAAGAATCAAAGAAAGTTCGCATTGTCTCGAAACAGCCGGAAAAACCGCAATCCGCGACTCGCTCTGCCCCCTCGACATTGGAACAAGTGTCTCGCGGAGAGCCGCAGCTTGGAGATAGCGAGATTGCTATTCTCAGAAGACTTCGCTCGATTGGCGAGTTCAATGCGAAAATGCGTGAAGATTTGGTGCGGCTCTATCACACTCTCGATTCGACCACAAGTAAAGAGCGAACCACCGACTATTGGCTTCAGTTACCAAACTATTGGGTTCGTATGGTTCATCAGAAACGTACAGATACTGTGCACCCGGATGATGAGCCTTCCCCAATTGCAGAACAGAGCCTAGGTGATTTGCTTACTGCTGAGCGTTACACATACATTGTGGAATCGCAGTTCCCTGAGTTGAACGGCTCAGAGATTGAAGACCTGTGGTGCACCATGCTTGATCCTGATGGTGTTGAAACGGAACCTAAGGAAGATCCTAGGCGAGAATTGTATCATGTTTGGAGAGGCTTTGTTGTCTTCGCTTCGGTGCCTATTGAGGTAGGAAGGCCCATTCAGGACACTGATGACAAGCATGCTAGAGTTGCTAAAGGATTGAAGGTTCCTGGTGAACCATCAGCCTCAGAAAGAGCCCAACATGAATTGACGCATTTGCCTTTCAGAGATTGGTGTCCTCATTGTGTCAAGTCAAAAGGTCGTCATGGTCCTGCAAAGAAACAGTCAGATAGACAGCCTGTGATTCAGGTTGACTATTGCTTCCAAGCTACACATCCAGATCTCCCATTGAGAAAGATCTTGTCAGCTTGTGATGTTCAGACTGGTTTGGGCATGGCTGTGATTGTTCCCTCAAAAGGTGAGAACAACTATGCAGTAGCCGAATTGAAGAAATTCATCTACGAGTGCGGAAGAACTTTTGGCATTCTGCAGTATGACCAAGAATCCCCATTGAAGAATGTCTGCCAAAGAGTCTGCGCTGAACTAGGTGGATTGAGTCTTCGTGCTGCGCCCAAATCACACCCACAAAGTAGTGGTTCGGTAAGTCAGATGCAAAGGACATTGTATGGTCAGGTTCGCACTTTGATTGCCCAAGTTGAGCAAAACTTGAACATTCAGATCACTTCAGATCATGTTTTGTACCCTTGGGCATTGAAGCATGCACAATGGAATACTTCTTCTTGATAATTCTTTATTCCCAAAAGGCGATGCAACAGATGTGAGAGCACATCGTCCCAGAACAAAACTGTTTTACGTGTCAATCATTGGTGCTTTGGGGTTTGTGGAGGGAGGGGTCCGAAAGTGATTCCTGAAGTCCCTCGAGCTTTTGGGCCATGAACGACATTGGGTTTGCATGGTGGAGGGAGGGGGGGTCCGAAAGTGATTCCTGAAGTCCCCCGTGCAAAAAGTCCCTGTGTGTGAGCTCCAGTGTTTGCATGAAGTATTACACTATATTTTCATTTGTGGGAAGGGGCACGAGTGTTTTTTTTTTGGGATGCACTGAATCATGTGTTGTGTGAACGCATGCACCATGTCAGTGCTCAAAGGCCACAGAAAGCTGTGGCATCAGAAATTTTGTCCGGGCTCTCTACAGGCTTGTATTTGCTTCGCTAGAGGTCCCAGGCTCGGTAACCTCTGGGGTTGCCCTTAGGGCTTCGTGCAAGTCAGCCCCGTGGGGGCTGGCGGATGGTACACGGCCTCGAGCAGCGAGCTCGTTCCAAGGGCCGTGCAGCCTTAGAGAGGCCTGTGAGTTTGTGCCAGGCGCCTGCAAGCAGTGGGATTCATCCATTGACGTGCTGTGTTTCCCACTTCACGTGCTCGTTTTTGGGTGCAGTTTTGGTTGTCGTGTGGGCAACGTGGACTAGGGCTGCTGTTCCTTGAATGCAACTGAACCTTCAGAGTCTGGAAGAGCCGCATTTTGTCAGTCCCTATCACGAGCTTCGGACAGAAGTGAATCAGCTTATTTTGGGTGTGGACGCTTTGCTGCTTCGCATCCAGAATCTTGAACGCCGGAGTGTTGATTTGCTTTCCATTGCAACAGATCATTCCCAGCAGCTTCGTGCGTCTCAGCAAGAAGACCTGCAGGTGCGTGAAAGTGTTCGGGACCTTGCGGATCGTGTGCTCGCGTTGGAAGAGCGAGTAGAGTCGCTGCGCCTTGACACTGATTCCGCTCTTCGTAGGGCTGGAGATAACGGGATCCAGGTGGCGTGGTGGCTGGATCAACATAATCAGCTGCGTTCTTGGGTCGTCATTAGTGTCCTTTCCCTCTTCGTCCTGCTCCTGCAGGTCGTGCGAGCACTGGCTGGGTGGTGCATTGCAGCGCCCCCTGCGTTCCAGTAAGGCCTGATTGGCTTTCGATGGCTTCAGGGTCATCGTGTGTGTGTGACAAAGGGGGGGGGATAAGTCCGATGACCTAGGGGATTTGTTCTTCAGGGCTGCCTTGTGGAATGCCGGTGCAAGACCCAAGCGCCCACTATTGCCGTGGGAATGTGAAGGGTCTATTCTTGCTGACACACTAGGACAACCGAGTCCGTCCAAAGCTATGAGGGTCGAGTGGCCGTCACAAAGCTTGCTGGACCAGGACGATCTCGCTAGTGTGGTGTCTACTGCCGTCTCGGCAAGTGACGCAGACTTGGCGGGGGCCGGAGGCTTGAAACTTGTTGTGTCCAAAAAGTGGCTAAAGAAATCGGGGCAATGCAGGGCATGGCAAGATGAGCGAGATGCGGCTCGCAATGCTGCGCTACAGTCTTGGAAAGCTTTGATTATGGTTTCGGGCACAGGAACCAAGTTGGGGGCTATCATCCTTGATGCAGCTGAAGAAGACGAAGAGCTTGTTCTTGAGTCGGTCCGGGATGCTTTCTCAGGCAAGGCCACGTCTACGTTACGCAATAGGGCAAACTCGTTGTTGTGTTACGGACGATGGAAGGCCTCGCTTGCAGCTGAGCAAGTTGTTGCAGTGTTTCCGATCACCGAGCAAGAAGCTTACAGGTACATTTGCTACATGCGGCGTGAAGGGGCACCGGTCTCAAGGGTGTCAAGGTTCGTGCAAGCCCTTGGGTTCGCCTGTGGTACCTTGGGAGCCAAGGTGTCTGATGTGCTTGAGTCTCCAAGGGTTAAGGGAGCGTGCAGCAACACACAGCCCAGACAGGTGCATAAGAAGGTGCCACTTACTGTCGCTGAGGTGGTCTTTCTTGAGACCTTGGCCGCATCAAGCGCATGTGTGGATGCCATCATCGCAGGTTTTGTGTGTTTCGCTCTTCACTGTCGCTTGAGATGGTCTGACGCAATGCACTCAGAGGAGGAGCCAGTCCTGGATGCGCCTGAGGGAAGGGGGTTTGTTGAGACGAGCCTGCCATGAAGTTTCGGTTGTTGCCGGTTGTAGCCGTGCTACCGGGAATGTCCAAGCTTGATTGGGCGGGCAACTGGTTGCGCAACCGGAGAGACCATAATCTGGTGGCGAGCAGGAATTGCCCGTTGCAGCCTGCGCCCGTGTCCACAGGGGGGTGGTCGGCGTTGCCATTCGAGCCCATGCATGGGGCTATGTGGTTGCGTGAGAAGCTGGCAGGTATGCACGTTCCGGTGAGCCGACTTAGCGATATTGCAACTCACTCCCTGAAGGCAACGGTGTTGTCGTGGCTGTCGCGTGCTGCGTGCCCGCAAGACTTGCAGCGCAGGGCAGGGTATCACATGTCAACCTTTGAGAAGAGTGCGTTGGAGTATGAGCGGGATGGACAATCAGCTGTACTGCATTTCATTGAGGGCGTGTACGAGTGCATCATTCATGCCATGTTTTCCCCTGACGCAAGTCGATCTGGTCGTTGGTCGGGATGCAGGTCGGTTGAAGAGGGCATGAAGATTTTGGCAGGCGCCGTTGATGAGGTGTTCCCACGAGCGACTGAGGGTGATGGGGATGCCAGTGAATTGGAAGATGAGTCGGAGCCCGATGCACAAGGTGCAGAAGCTGATTCCGAGGATGAGCAGATGATGGCGGAAGTAGCTGTGCATCAGGTCGCAAAGGCCGCGCCTATGGCCATGCCGGAGTGCATAGCCTTTAGGCGCTGGATGAGTGGAGTTGTGCACTTGAGCCCTGTTGTGACTTCAGATGACGATGGGGAGGCATGCGTGTTCAAGTGTGGGAGGACGGCCAACTCTAACTACGAGCAGCTCAAGTTTGTGCCTTCGTGCAACACCCGACAGTGTTCCGTGTGCTGGATGTGAAAGAATGTGCGTGTAGGCCGTGTAGGGATCTGTGATGTGCGAGAAGGATTCTGTGATGTATGTAGTAGCATTTCGTTGTGTGCATGTACGCAGAATCGATGTTAGGGCGTAGGAGAAGTGTCTCGCGACATGATGCGCGCGCGCGCGCGCATCATAAATTTTTCATACCGGCGGGAGCGGGGGAGAACTGCGTGTTGCTTTCTTGCTAAACGAAACACAGGAGGCATGCCCTGTTTGTGCAGCTTGGGAAGGCCCGAGTGCTCGTGAGGCAAAGGCCCGCGACTGAAAGCTAGCATGTCCATGGTCGACAGTGAGCCTGTGTTTGCTGCGAGGTGCACGCGCATTGGCATCCCGGGAGCCGTTGTGAAGAAGCTTGCTACCCATGGGTGGAACACTTATGCTACCTTTGGCTTCTGCATCCAGAATCATGCTGATGACAAGTCGTTCGAGTCACAGGTCATAGGACCCGTCTTGGGTACCGACCCAGCTATGGTCACCCACGCTGCGAAGTTGCGTAGGTTGTTCATGGAGTCCTACACTGTGTCTGCGGGCGAAATCAAGAGACAGGCTGAGGCGTCGGAACAGGATGCACCGCGGAAGTTGCCACCACAAGAGATGGCAGCCCGAATCGAGCTGTTGGCAGCGAAGATTGCTCCCTTGAAGATTCAGGATCGCCTTGAGCCATCCCAGAACTTGGTTAGTTTGGCGTGCCAGATGTTGGATGAGGGTCGTGTCAAGTACATCTCTTGGGCGCAGTGCACCACAAGGTCGCAGGAGATCAACGCTGTCAAGGAGATCAATAGCCTTAAGATTTGGCAGCCAGCCAAGGATGGTGTCATCAAGGAGACGCGTGTGGAGCCAGGCATGACAGCGGCAGTGGCTACGGAGCTTGAGGTTCACCAGGCACTGCGTCGCAGAGGCATTGCTTATGCTGTGGCACAGGTGATGTCCTTTGCCCGTCATGAAGAACTGATAGCCCTCTTGTTTGATGAGTTGCAACGCGAGGCAAAGGCTGGTTTCCACCCCGTGTCGCTGGCTCAGCTTGCGCAAGCGGACAGAGAGATTCACGTTCGGCTGGGCGAGGCAACCAGGGCAGGTCTGGTGAACGGACCTGGCGGTGAGCTCCCACTTGATGTTCCGTTGACCCGTGTCTTGCAGAGCCCGGCGGTCATGTGGTTGCTCATGCCTCGTCTCAAGCAGGGGTCAGCGCCAGCAACCGAAGATCCGGAGGCGGCTGAAACGCCCAAGAAGAAGAAGACTCGGAAGAACAAGAAGAAAGACCCGAAGAAGGAGGCGGATGTTGAGACACCGCCTGCCAAGAAGCGTCGGGTTCCCATGCCGAAGGCGCTGATTGGCGGCACACCCGAGGATCCTGAGGGAAACTCGCTGTGTTTCGGGTTCTCGTTGAAGACCTGTAAGGTGCATGGACCGAAGTGCGACAAAGGTCTGCACAAGTGTTGCTTCTGCTATGGGCATCATCCTGGTGTCGAGTGCAGAAGCAAGAAGACGTGACGTGAGGGCCATGCCGTGTCCGTGCTTGACGATGGGGGGGCCGAAGGGCCAAGCCTTGACGCTCACGTGAAGCCTCCGGAGGGAGGTGATCCGTGGGCGTCCGTGCATCGTCAGGTCAAGGGGCCTAAGTTTGTGCAAAGGCGTTTGCAGCGTGTGCTTGCGGCTACGGGTCCAGTTTTGGTGCGCCATGAAGCGGTTCATAAGCCGTGCAGCCTTCATGGTGTGGGACACTCGCCTACTGATTGTGATGCAGCTCAGCATCCTGCTGAGAGACTTGCGGCCACGATCAGCAATCCTGACAACAATGATATCCTCAGGCTGTTGAAGCTGTTACCGTCAGAGAAGCCAGCCCGAGGTGTTGAGCAGCCGAATTCACATTCTTTCAGCACAGGTGCTTTTTCCAAAGATGGACGGGTCGGGGTGCGTAATTTTCTTAAGGAGTTTCCTGTCACATCGCGTCTCTTGACGGCTTTCGTGCGCCGACATGCCCCGGGGCATTGCTTTGGGGCCGTAGCGCTCTTTACCAATCTTGAGGCAGATTTTCACAAAGATGTCAACAATGATGCATCATGTCACAATTGGATATGCCCTCTCTCGCATTGGGAGGCTGGCGGCGAGGTCTGGGTCGAGGACGAGCAAGGCTCTTCCTGGCAAAATGCCCGTGGTGTGTGGCGACGAGGCCGCCTTTTGCCCGTGCGACAGCACCCTGTTCTCTTGGCGTCGCATGACTTGCACAAGGTTTTGCCATGGAAGGGGAACCGGGTCGTGCTGGTGGCGTTCATGCCTCGCGGTTTGTCGGGACTTGAGCCGGAACATCAGCGCCTCATGTCCAGTGCAGGTTTCGTGCTGCCAGGGATTGGGCATGCGTTGCCTCCTTTCGTGCGTGAGGGCGGAGCCCTGCAAGACGCCTTAGTGTCTCCGGGCGCTAGGCCTGACCCTAGGGTTCCGCCTCCCCCCTCTGTAGGCGCCGGAGTTGGGTTTCCGGGGTTACGATGCAAGCCCGAGTCCCACCCCACCCTAGGTCACTGTGCTAGGCCTTCCGACGGTTTTGGGTTACCGACCCCTTTAAGCACAGTGACTAGGTCACCTAATGCCGCTCAAGATGCAAAACCTCCCTATGTGCTGGAGATCTTTTGTGGCACTGCCGGCGTGGCTGCCGCTATGCAGGCACGAGGTTGTGATGTCCTTGGCATTGACAAAGACTTGCGTCCGCGCAAAGTGCGCGCACCGGCGGTGCGCCTGGACTTGTGTGATGCGGAACAGCGTCGGCTTGTGTGGCAGGAGATCCAACGGGCCGATGCCGTCTGGCTGGCTCCTGCGTGTGGCACATCGTCCCGGGCAAGAGGCGTACGTTTGCCTTCCGGGGGACCGCAACCCAAGGCCTTGAGGTCGGAGGATTTCCCACAGGGCTTTCCAAGCTTGCGTGGCGTCAACAAAGCACGGGTGACGGCAGCGAACACTTTGTATGCGTTTTGCGCTGAGGTCTTTGAGTATTGCCGTCAAAACCACAAGGTAGCCGTCATAGAGAATCCCGAACGTTCCTTCATGTGGCTCACTGTGTGGATGCAGCGTGTGTTGTCCATGGGCAGGTGGCATGTACTACATGCGTGCATGTATGGGTCCCGGCGTTTGAAGCGCACAGCCTTGCTGGCCACGCATGATTTGCCGTCCATGCGCAGCCAGTGTGATGGCGCCCATGCACACATGGCATGGGGGCGATGCAAGCAAGGCGCCGGGTGGGCTTTCGCTACGGCCGCCGAGGTGAGCTATCCCCGGCCCATGTGCAGTGCCGCGGCCAATGATTTGTGTGCTATCCTGCGAGCCAAGGGTTCCTTGCTTGATGGTTCATATGCTTCGCGCACCGCTTTGGCCACTGTTGCGTCGCAGCGTCAGCCACGACGCGATGGCCCGCAAGTGGGACCCGAGGAGTTCCTATCCACCGTGACTGTACAGGTGCCTGCTGAGGTCGAGGTGCCGGACTGCATACCGGCTACTGGGTGCTTGGTGCCGGGTCTTGGGGGTGTTCCTGCTGGCTCCAAATTACTTGCCTCACGTCGTTGCGAAGAAGGGGGGAAGGTAGTTCGTGAGGTTGTGTTTGGCATATACAGGACACCAGATGCATTTGTCAATGAAGCTTTGAAGTGCATACATCCGTTTGACAAGCCGGGAGCTTTAGACATGGACAATGTGCAGGCTATGGCCAATATCTTTCAGCATGGGATAGAGGGCACGAAGGCTTTTCGAGAGAGGATGTTGGATCACTACAGAAACAGAGCAAGGGAGCTGCAGCCCATGGAGGATGCGGCCAAGGGCCAAATGCACCCCGATGTGAAAGCAATTATGGGATCCAAGCGCTTGTTGCTGTTGCAGGAGCTCATGAGCGATGCAGGCGTCCAGGACCGTGAGCTAGTAGCAGACATGGCCAGTGGTTTCCGACTGACGGGTGAACTGAGACCCTCGGGCTTGTTCCCTCGGCAACTGAAGCCGGCCGCATTGACGCAGGATGATCTGAAAGCAACGTGCAGATGGTCCAAGCATCTTGTGGAAGCCTCTTGCCGAAGGGCGGCTCGCGACAAGGAGGTGGCGGCCAAGATTTGGGACGAGACTCTCGAGCAGAAGGAAAAGCAGTGGGTCAAAGGGCCTTTTAGCGAAATTAACGATAAATACAAAGGTGAATGGATTGCATCGAAACGCTTCGGTGTTGTGCAAGGAGAGAAAATCAGGGGCATAGACGACTTGTCTGAATTCCTGGTCAATGCTTCTGTCACAGAGACTGAGAAGGTTGTCTTGGATGGGGTTGATGCCATAGCAGCTACAGCTCGTTTCTTTGTACGGGGTGCCCTAGGAGCGACTGAAGAATTCCACTTGCCGGATCGTGATGGTGAAACGTTCAGTGGGCGACTTCACCCCGACTTCCGAGACAAGGAGAATCGGCAGCTACACGGCAGAGCTCTTGACTTGAAAAGCGCCTACAAACAACTTGCTCGGCATCCAGACGATGCATGGGCCACAATCCTGGCGGTTTTGAATCCTTCGGATGACACAGTGTACTATTTTGAAGCGGTAGCGCTACCGTTTGGCGGGACGGGGTCGGTCACCAGCTTTAACAGGGCGGCGCGGGTGCTCAAAATGGTGATGGCCCGACTGTTTTGGTTGGTGAGCACCAATTATTACGATGACTATTGCCAAATGGAACTTTCCCCGCTGATCGAGTCGGCTTCGCAGACGGCTGAGGCGTTGCTGGAGCTCCTTGGATGGGAGGTAGCCCGAGGCGATAAGCTCAAGGACTTCGCGAAGTCTTTCGACATCCTAGGGGTGACTGTCAGGTTCGATAGAGCTTGTGAGGGCATCGTAGAGGTGTGCAACAAGGCTGGAAGGATTGAAGAGCTCACGAGTGCGTTGCAAAACCTTGCGAGTGGGGCCTGTGGTCACAGTGAGCTTGCGTCGTTCAAAGGGCGCATGTTGTTCGCTACCAACCATGTGTACGGAAGGTGTGCGCAAATATGCACCCAACTCATCAGCCAGGCCCAAAGATCCGGTGATGTTGCGGTGGCCCGGGAAGCCATACTGGATGCAGCGCGCTTGGCGTTGGATACCTTGCGAGCATCGGGCCCGCGACGGCTGTCGTGTTGGGCTCATGAACCGCCCGTGCTCATCTTTTCCGATGGTGCCCATGAAGATCAAATTGTGACACATGGAGCCGTGCTCTTTGACCCACTTACAGGGAGACAAGAGTTCTTTGGTGATTTTGTACCAGAGTGGCTAGTGAAGCGGTGGAGGTCTAAGGGCTTAAAGCAGTTGATCTTTTTCGCTGAGTTGCTACCTGTGGCAGTTGCCAAGGCGACCTGGGCACATGTGCTCGAAGGTCGGCTCTGTTTCTTCTTCGTGGACAATGAAGCCGCGAGAGCTAGCTTGATCAGATCCTTCACACCTGTGATCAATGCAACTTCCATCCTGATGGATGTGGCTTTGGCAGATGTCAAGTCTAATGCAATATCATGGTACTCGCGCGTTCCATCAAAGAGCAACATAGCAGATGACGCATCCCGCTTGTGCTTCACCAGATACCAGTCCATGTTTCGCCAAGTTGCACCAGTGTATGAAAGCATCACTTGAGAGGCAAACGGGGGTGGTGAGGAAGTGATGCTGTGAAAGTGTGCGAGGGCACACACTTGGAACCGACGTGGGTGTACTCCTCAACGGAGGAGGGACCTGGGTCGTGCATCTGCAGGGCTTCGTACCGTCCCCCGTTTGTGCGTGTGAAAAAGTGGGAGGAGTGAGCGTGATGCATGTTATGAATTTTGAAGATATGTATTCATGATGGTGAAGAAATATTCTGACAGTTGTGTTTGGGATTGTATCGGTGAGAGGGAATAAGGAATACTTCTTCTTGATAATTCTTTATTCCCAAAAGGCGATGCAACAGATGTGAGAGCACATCGTCCCAGAACAAAACTGTTTTACGTGTCAATCATTGGTGCTTTGGGGTTTGTGGAGGGAGGGGTCCGAAAGTGATTCCTGAAGTCCCTCGAGCTTTTGGGCCATGAACGACATTGGGTTTGCATGGTGGAGGGAGGGGGGGTCCGAAAGTGATTCCTGAAGTCCCCCGTGCAAAAAGTCCCTGTGTGTGAGCTCCAGTGTTTGCATGAAGTATTACACTATATTTTCATTTGTGGGAAGGGGCACGAGTGTTTTTTTTTCCCGAAAGCATCGCGAAGGGTTCTTCCGTGCGGAGCCCCCTGACACAACAACATAGACTGAAGTGCATAGAGCGAAGTGCATAGAGTGAAGTGCATAGAATGAAGTGCACAGAGTGAAGTGCATAGAGTGAAGTGCATAGAGTGAAGTGCATAGAGGCAAGCGCACAGAGTGAAGTGCACAGAGTGAAGCGCATAGAGTGAAGTGCATAGAGTGAAGTGCATAGAGTGAAGTGCATAGAATGAAGTGCATAGAGTGAAGCACAGAGTGAAGTGCATAGAGTGAAGTGCATAGAGTGAAGTGCATAGAGGCAAGTGCATAGAGTGAAGTGCATAGAGGCAAGTGCACAGAGTGAAGTGCACAGAGTGAAGTGCATAGAGTGAAGTGCATAGAGTGAAGTGCAGAGAGTGAAGTGCATAGAGCGAAGTGCATAGAGTGAAGTGCATAGAGTGAAGTGCATAGAGTGAAGTGCATAGAGGGAAGTGCATAGAGTGAATTGCATAGAGTGAATTGCATAGAGCTTAGTAATCAGTGAATACAAAATTTACGTAGAATTTACTAGACCTTCGTACCCAGTCCTAGATTTCTAAATTAAAATTACTCTTTCTAAGGCGGCGGGCTGGGTTGACATCGCCAATCGGGATTGCAACCCTCTGCGGGTTTCGGCGTGGTCGCGGTGCTAAAACCGTCGTTTTTTTACGTTTCTTGATTTGCGCGGACAACCCTCTGCGGGTTTCGGCGTCGTCGCGGTGCTAAAACCATCGTTTTTTTACGTTTCTTTCTGTGCGCGGACAACCCTCTGCGGGTAATCGCTGGGTCGCGGTGCTAAAACCGTCGTTTTTTGCATTTTTTTCGTGCGCGCGTCAACCCTCTGCGGGTTTCGGCGTTGGCGCGGTGCCAAAACCATCGTGTTTTTGCCTTTTTTGACAAACAAACGTAACCCCTCTGCGGGTTTGGGCGTTGGCGCGGTGCCAAAACCGTCGTGTTTTTGCGTTTTTTGACATACAAACGTAACCCCTCTGCGGGTTTGGGCGTTGGCGCGGTGCCAAAACCGTCGTGTTTTTGCGTTTTTTGACATACAAACGTAACCCCTCTGCGGGTTTGGGCGTTGGCGCGGTGCCAAAACCGTCGTGTTTTTGCGTTTTTTGACATACAAACGTAACCCCTCTGCGGGTTTTCGCGTGGTCGCGGTGCTAAAACCGTAGTGTTTTTGCGTTTTTTTTTCGACTTGCGTAGTACAGACGTAGTACGCCGGGGACTTCCGTGGCTGGAAAATCGAGTTTTGTAGTACAAATGTAGTACGCCACGGACGCCCCCGGAGCTTCCGTGGCTGGAAAGTCGACTTTTGTAGTACAGATGTAGTACGCCACGGACACCCGGAGCTTCTGTGGCTGCAAAGTCGACTTTTGTAGTACAGACGTAGTACGCCCCGGACACCCGGAGCTTCCGTGGCAGGAAAGTCGACTTTTGTAGTACAAATGTAGTACGCCGGGGACGCCCGGAGCTTCTGTGGCTGGAAAGTCGACTTTTGTAGTACAAATGTAGTACGCCGGGGACGCCCGGAGCTTCCGTGGCTGGAAAGTCGACTTTTGTAGTACAAACGTAGTACGCCGCGGACACCCGGAGCTTCCGTGGCTGGAAAGTCGACTTTTGTAGTACAAATGTAGTACGCCACGGACACGCGGAGCTTGCTCCAGACGTAGTACGCCGCGGACACCCTGGGCGTCTGAAAACACCGCAAATAGCATGGTAACGGACATCTGGGCGCATGAAAACACCGCAAAGAGCATGGTAACGGACATCTGGGCGCGTGAAAACACCGCAAATAACATGGGCGCGGAATTCTGGGGCTTTGAAAACCTAGCAAATAACGTGGGCGCGGAATTCTGGGGCTTTGAAAACCTAGCAAATAACGTGGGCGCGGAATTCTGGGGCTTCGAAACCCTCGCAAATAACGTGGGCGCGGAACTGTGGGCCTTCGAAATCCTCGCAAATGACGCGGGCGCGGAATTCTGGGGCTTCGAAACCCTCGCAAATAACGTGGGCGCGGAACTGTGGGGCTTCGAAATCCTCGCAAATAACGTGGGCGCGGAATTGTGGAGCTCCGAACTCCTCGCAAACAACTTGGGGACGGTGTGTTCGAATTCGCTTCCAAAACCATTGCGAAAACCATGGTCCCCGAAGTTGCTGTTTCCAAAACCAAATAGCATGGTAACGGACATCTGGGCGCATGAAAACACCACAAAGAGCATGGTAACGGACATCTGGGCGCATGAAAACACCGCAAATAACATGGGCGCGGAATTCTGGGGCTTTGAAAACCTAGCAAATAACGTGGGCGCGGAATTCTGGGGCTTCGAAACCCTCGCAAATAACGTGGGCGCGGAACTGTGGGGCTTCGAAACCCTCGCAAATAACGTGGGCGCGGAACTGTGGGGCTTCGAAATCCTGGCAAATAACGTGGGCGCGGAATTCTGGGGCTTCGAAATCCTGTGGGGCTTCGAAATCCTCGCAAATAGCGTGGGCGCGGAATTGTGGAGCTTCGAAATCCTCGCAAACAACTTGGGGACGGTGTGTTCGAATTCGCTTCCAAAACCATTGCGAAAACCATGGTTCCCGAAGTTGCTGTTTCCAAAACCATCGCAAACACCATGGTCCCCGAATTCGCTGTGTCCAAAACCATCGCGAAAACCATGGTACTCGAATTAGCTGTTTCCAAAACCATCGCGAAAACCATGGTCCCCGAATTCGCTGTTTCCAAAACCATGACAAATATCAGCCATGCAGTGGAGCGGGAAAAAAGTGATCTCGATTTGGAGGGAAGGCAACCAGTCCTGCGCTCAGACTCGTCTCTCTGTGGGAAGTGATCAGCGGTTGCTCTCAAATGTAACATGTTTGGGCGATGTCCGATTTGGACGTCCTGGGGCGCGCCGACGTCAATGAAGGGGAGAAGGCATCCCGCACTGTGTGTCGGTGCTAGCGTTCGTGTGCTGTATGTCTGTTACCTCATGATGCGTTGCTCTACATGCGTGCGTGCTAGCTTTGGCCCGAGAGGCGCTATTGAGTGAAACCTTGGCGCCAGCTTGGACCGTGCGGGTTTTTGTAGGTCCAGGCATGTCGTACACCGGCGGGGATGCTATGCAGACGCTGCGGCGCGGTTTCCGTGCTAAAGGTGCAGGTTGGCTGCGCCAGGAGCTTGCGAAAAAGACGGTCACGCAGCTGCGTGAGCTTGCTGGCGCTGCGGGCACACGACAGGGCTCTGGCGCGAGCACGCGAAACAGAGAGGAGCTTCTTGATGCTCTCTCGCAGTGCATCTCCGAGCAGGAGGCGTCTTGGGGAAAGCGTCATTTTCGTGCTTTGTATTCTTGGTTTCCTTCTTCTCTAAGGTTTGTGCGTCACATGGTTTGCATTCCTACGCAGGTTGGGGTCATGTTGTTTGTGGCTTGGAGCTTGCTTATTTTTGGGCTCTAAGTTCAAGCGGCGCGTGCGCAGTGTCTCTTGACTAGGGCAGTTTCAGGCTTTTCTTCTCGACCTGTGATCAGGATGAAGCTGGCGCTGCGCCGCAGCAAGAGCTGCACGGTCTGCGCGAAGGTTTTGCCGCTCATGGCGTGGCTTGGCTGCGCGAGGAGTTAGCGAAGCAGACCGTGAAGCAGTTGCGGGCGCTTGCTGGGGCTGCGGGTGTGCACCTGCGCGCTGGTGCGCGCATGCGGAACAGAGAGGAGCTTCTCGACGCTCTCTCGCAGTGCATTTCCGAGCAGGAGGCGTCTTGGGGAAAGCGTCATTTTTGTGCTTTGTATTCTTGGTTTCCTCCTTCTCTAAGGTTTGTGTGTCATATTGTTTGCATTCCTACGCAGGTTGGGGTCAAGGTTGTTTCTGGCTTGGAGCTTGCTTTTTTTTGGGCTTTACGTTCAAGCGGCGCATGCGCAGTGTCTCTTGACTAGGGCAGTTTCAGGCTTTTCTTGTCGACCTTTGAACAGGATGAAGCTGGCGCTGCGCTGCAGCAAGAGCTGCAGCGCCTGCGAGAAGGTTTTGCTGCTGACGGCGTGGCTTGGCTGCGCGGGGAGCTCGCGAAGAAGACCGTCAAGCAGTTGCGGGCGCTGGCTGGGGCTGCGGGTGTGCAGCAGGGCTCTGGCACCGGCATGCGAAACAAACAGGAGCTTCTAGACGCTCTGTTGCAGTGCATATCCGAGCAGGAGGCGTCATGGGGAAAGCTTCGCTTTTGTCCTGCGCAGTGTCTCTTGACTAGGGCAGTTTCAGGCTCTTCTCACCCCCCTTTACTGCCCGCCACCTGACGTTTTAATCTTGCTTGCTTTTTTTGGCCTCGACGTTTCTACGTTCGGGCAGGCAGACGTCGAGGACGATGTCAGCGCAGATGGCTTGAGGAGCTGGGTAGCAGAGCTCGGCGAAAGCGCGGCTCG